GGCAGGGGCAGGGTGAGGTGAGGGAGGGCGGCGCTTGCAGCCATGCACTGCAGAACCACCTGACCGTGTGGGCGAAGCAGCGAGCAGCCACCGCCGGCACTGCGTGATCCTCGCGACCGCCCCTGAGCCCTCTCCACTTCAGGCGCACGGGCTGACGCTCTGCACCGGCCGTCTCAAGCGCCGTTCTCATGGTCTGGAAGCTGTGCGGGGACGGAAAAACAGGACGCCGTGTGCCGCCGGCCCCCTCCGAACAGCCCTCCGACTCTGAGCCATGCCCCCGCGCCCTCACCCGTGTCCAGCGCCCCGACCAGCCGCCCCGACGGCGGCTCCAGCCCGCTGTCGTTGGCGGCCGCCCCCGGCGCCAGGTGCGCCCCCGCCACCAGCACGTCTGCCGCCGCGTGCGCGCGCTGCGCGTAGGCCAGCCCGTCCCCGAGCCAGACGCCGTCGCAGTCGCTGATGACGACCAACGGGATGTCGTATTTCAGCAGGGCGCGCGCCAGCCCAACTCGCTGGCGGGCCGGCTGCGCGTGAGGGGTGTGGGGGTGTGGGGGCTCAGGGTAGATCAGTGGCGGCTGAAGCTGTCGGCGCCTGCTGAAGTCTCCAGCCGGGACGGTCGGCTGCGTGCTTAGGCCGGCGGTCTCTTGGGGCGGCCAAGCCAGGGTGTATTCCTGAAGCCCCGCCTTGGAGAGCCACGTCTGCTGGGAGGGCCCAACCATGTGACCCCCTGCCTCACCCACGACAAGCCCCTCCCTCCCCCCAACAAAAACACGGATCGTGCCTGCTGCATGTCCCTCCAGGCCTGTGCGTCGATGTCTGGCGCCACCTGGTCGCGCCGGTACATCAGGAACGCCTGGGGTTGGGGTGGGGTGGGGGTGGGATGCGGGGACGGTGGGCTGGTGTCCGTAGGTTGTAGTAAGGGTGCGAGAATGGGGGGTCCATCCAGGGGTGGTGCGGTGGGGTGGTGGTGCCGTGGCGTGTGCGAACGGCGTCGACCCCGTGCCTGCAC